ACCTCATTTGCCATATTCACCACTGGGCCACCATTCACCAGAAGGGCCTGATGCAAGGAGGTCAGTAAGAAGCTATTAGCAGAGTCCCCTCCTGAGATTTCTTTGGTCTTATTGAGGTGAAAGTTAGCATGACAGTACTGCAAATAACTTAGTTGTAGGTTTTTTAACAGTTAGCACAGATTTCCCCATAGTGTTTGTCACTTTAGAAAATTGTTCCTGCGAATGAAGTCCCAGAAATCTGGCTTTGACAGAGGCACTTCTTAGTTGTGAAGAACACGGGTACAGAAAAATTTGTCATTCTCCCTGCAGGCAAGAACTGCTTTTCGTAACCTGTCATAGTATTTTGGAGGGTAGCATATTTTCTTATGGACTAAAGGTGGAGAAAATACTGAAATCAAAGTATAAGGTAATACCTCAAGACAGATACTTTTCTACCATTGAAAAAGCAGTATTAACTACAATGGTTTTGTAGTTGAGAGAATATTGTATTAAAGTAGTGAAAAGATGAAGTAATGCTTTTAAGACATTGTACTGGTCTCAAGAAGATATGCAAATTTATTAAGTACCAAAGGCTTTGATCCTCCAGATTCTCAGATTTCTGCAGACTGCCAGCTCCCTGCAGAGGACAGAGTGAATAGGGCATCCATCAGCACACAGCAGATGTGCAAGAAATTACAAAAATAAGACTCTGATTTGCAGACATGTTTAAAAATTAAGGGAAGCAATTTTTCCAGAGATTGGTCTGAACTGGAAAGTAGAATCAAACTCATCCCCTTGTCTCTCCTACCAAACTTTGCCAATTTTAAATCTAGGCCTAAAACCTTGCCACAAACCTTGGGGAATTTAGACTAAATTAGTAATAATTTTATCTATCTAGATACTAACTCTGCTGATTGCTCTGCTATCTGTCTGTTTGAATACTTGAACATATATAATTAAAATGTAAAGTAATTAACAAGGATTGCTTGAAAAATTATTATTTAAAAATGCACTTTATAATCAATTTTGACCCAGATCTCATAGTTTTAACTGTAGAAGAAGCAATAACTTTTAAAGTGTCCAACTGGCTTCACTAAAACTCCAAATCCGTTTTCATAGTTGGTACACTATGTGTATGTGTTTAGCCTGGAAGTATGTAAAGAAAGAACAACAAAAGATGGCTCTTTGTTAAGACACCTTTTCAGTGATAATAATTCAAAAGACACTGAATCAATGGATTCCCACACCTATTACGACTAATTTCGGTGTCATTGAAAGTGCTAAAAACCAATCCTATTTGTGCACCTTGAGATATTCAGCAGCATTTCACAGTGTTTGAACCCTTTATGAACTATAGGTGTTTTTACTGCCAAACATTTAAACAAAGAAACGTCAAGTAGAATATACATAGTATCTCAATATAGATTGCAAAATGTAGTTTCAGAAAGCCGTGTACTCATGGAGCCATTTACACTTGCTCTAAGTATGGCTGACAGAAGCAGCGCCATTTCTTACAGCCCAGACAGCACATGACTTTAAAGGTATTCTTGCCTGTAATTCTTTAGAGGAAAAATGTTTAAATTATTCAAGATATTGTATCATATTATATATATTATTGTATATATTATATAGTATTATA